GTGCCCAGTCCTAGACTCTGGGAAACACGAGTATAAAGTTAATTGACTTACTTTTGAGTAATGGCGTTAACGTGAAGTTCTTGTCCGTCAGGTCACTACTATATATCGACATGTTCTCGTGATTTAAATCGCTGAAATAAATAGTTCGTGTGACGTCGTCGTAAGCGACCCCCGACAGGGACCCGGCTTCTTCTAACATCGCCTGTCCATTTAACGACCCATTTACCGCGAGAAATTCGATTTTACGTCCTGCGACTACTGCCAAGTCTGGAAAGAGATACGGAAAGAATGTTTAAATAGAAGCGCGATTTCATTTCAAGTGTGTTGATGAAGCAACTTCTGTAATTGATAAATTTTGCAGTAGTCATGTAGACTTAAGGTAAATAAGATCGTTCATACTGCACATCGTCAGCTTATCATCTCAATTGTAATAATTAATGAAATGTCTGCTGTTAAAGGAAAATAATTATTGCATTTATGTACAGTCACTTGCATTAATATTCGTACGTACTTTATAACTGAATAACTGCTTTAGTATTGGACTAAACAATTTAGTATTAAAGAAGTTATTCTGTTTTGAAGTGATTAAGAATAATTAATAAGTTGGCTGATTCAACAAATAAGGATTAGTCATCAGTGTATCATCTTAATTATAATAATTAATGAAACGATGTCTGCTATTAAAGCAAATAATTATNATTATGTAGAACAGATTTTCTTACACGCATTTCTATAATTGCATAATAATCTACAGTCTAATAATAAAAATTAAAATATATTTGAGGCTCAAGGCTGATAAATAAATATTTCGATCATTCTCTATATAAAAAAAGCGATTTAGTCAGAAATATCAGTTTGTGGAATTTCAGATGATTAGAGCGAAAAACGATATGTAAAGTTGACAATTCTTTTTAATAATAATCTCGATTTCTTATCACGAATCTACAATTTCGCTGTATCGCCAGTTTACCGTCTTGTGCTTCGCGCGTTGGCTACTTTATAAATATTAACTACTTTGTTACACGATCGCACGCATGCTTAATGATTCTCGATATTAAATCCATAATTCCTGCAACTCATCGATGGAAAACAAAGTGTCAGTGGACAAACAAAATTATATCGAAAATTAATGTATGTACGTAAGTTCTATTAAATTAACCTGTTACGTTCTCGTCCGTTTTACATAATCGGACAGCTATCGATCTTGCGCTCGCATCGCAAATATTCTAGGCGATTAAAAGATCAAATAAGGAGCCTGTCAACCTTATCAGTTTCGCCTGTTACGTAATCGATAAGTTGGCGCTTCATTAAGCCGTTGATTGCGCTAATTGACGGTTTTCAAGTAACGGCATGATAATTTTTTTTTTAAATACCGTTTCATCGGAGGAGAAGACGACGCTGGGATCGTCGCTGTGACAAATGCAACGTTAATTCGTCAGACGATTTTAATCGTCATCTCGAGTCGAGTAGAACTTGGGTCGTGACACGAGGCAATATACGAAACGATGCTCGTACCTACTTTTAGCGTACGCGAGCACCCAAGGCGATTCTAACCCGGATAGAATTTTTACATCTATTTTTCGATCGAAGAAATTAATTTTTTTTTTTAATTATCGTTACCCATCGATCATTGGTGGCTCGCGCGTGCGATGGCATGCCTTGACATTCATTACGTAAGTAAACAGGTATAAGGACAAGTACCGTTCCGCGTACGTTATTTAATAGCACGAGAACCGTATCGGAGTTTCGAGGAGCTGTTCGCTTCGAATACGATCCACGTTTCATTCATATTCGTCGGTAGATTTCCGTGTTTCGGCGTGGTAAGGCAGTAGCAGAAGTGGCGTACGTGACCGAGGAGTCCGCGTGAATGGAGTAGAGTCGCCCGCGTTGCGGGTGGCCGCGATGAATACCACGCGTACACGCGGCAAACGTTGACCGTTACGAATTTTCATCACATAAAATATCGGTAAAATTGATCGCTCGACTTACCCCAGGATCTGGCTTGAGCGTTAATCACCAACATCCCCATGATTATCGTTAACGTGCTAACGAGATTTTTACGAACGGTCATGATGTGCGATCATCTATCGGCGTCCGTAAGGTCCCCGGGATATTTTCCAAACACTGGCAACGATTTTTCACAAATCGGCGAACTGTTACCGGCCGAATTTATCTCGTTCTTAATTCAAGGAGGCCAGCGGCGAACCGAACGCATTCGTCCTCTCGCGGCTCTGCGCAAACTGGCCGCCGCGGCACTGCTTCGATGTAAACGGCACGAACATAGGATCGGGTCACGTGACTCCTCCTGTCTTGGCACTCAGACGACGAGTTTCACTCAGAGTTCCGCACATATTTCCGACGGCTAACCTGCGCCAGGCGCAACCACGTCGACGTATTAACGAGGAACGGATATATTCCGTATCCTCGATTGCAAATTCCACTGTTTAAACTCGTTTATATGATAATTAGAACGTGATTTATGATTAACCTGAGGTTAGGTAACATTTTGTATGTATCGTGATTTCTGATCGATCGCATGATTCATATGATCGAGTTTACGCATCGAATTAATTCATTCTAATGATTAATTATTTTCGAAGTTTGATTTTCGCGGGCGATACGATGCCCTCTGGCGGAGTTCAACTGCGAGTAAGTCACCCCTAAAGACGAACGTGTCGCTCGTTCTTAAAAACTAACCACCCCTGATTTGGACGGGACTCGAGACGAAGTACTGATAAATAAATTATGCGATTTGGTTTAAATTTTAAATCGAAGGGGGGGTGAAATATCGGCTAATAAATTGACGATTCTTCATGTATTCACGTCATGTCACTGTTTAAAATCGTTTGAATTTAATTCGGTTTATAAAATTGCTATTTCAACCCCTTCACGTCACTCGACGAACCTCAACGATTTTTAAAAGAAACTAATATTAATAAAGTAAAGAAAAACGAGAGGATCATGTGTCAAACGACCTCTGCACGTATTACTTTTATTTTCGACGAGGGTGCAACGACTAGCGAAGCGACGCGAACGCCACGTCGGTGGCAGTCGCGCCACCCTCCTCCGAGGGTGCAACGAAAAATAAGAGTGGATCGATCGCATGGTCTCCGTCGATACTCTCTGAAAACGAATAGAAAATCGAGACACGTTTCGAACCAGTGGAGAACTGAAATCGCGAGCACCGTTCGTCTCTCGGTGAAAAATCGAAGGGGGGTGCGAGGAAATTGATCGGGACGTGGAGAAACGCGGAAAACGTTCGGTGCGACCGCGAAGCGATGACGCCACGTACTAGACGGTAGATGTTATTGATCAATGAGAGAGGCTAACATGGGTGACCCGTGCCGGCAGAGGCAGCTGCGTTGCTTCTTTCGTGTTTTAACGCGACGACGCGCGTGCATCGCGAGGAACCGTTCGCCGGACGAGGTGTCCACGGAATCCCGGCGGCCCGTTGCCCGTCTCCGACCGAGGAACACCGAGCGTACGTGAAACGGGCGGCCGCCTCCGGACTTTCCGTGTAAATACATACGAATCGAAGGGGTACGGAGGGAGGGAGTGAACGCGGCAGGGAAAGAGGCAGGAGTCGCGGGGTAAAAAGGGCACGGGGGTAGTGGGAGCGACCGAGAGAGAGACACCGGGACAGCTGCGCGAGCGAGCGGGACCAGACGAGGGAAAAAGAAAGTGACGGGAAGGAGAGTCGCGGAAACAGAGGGAGAAAGTAGACGTGTGACGACATGTGTCTGTGTTGAGAAATTTCGTGTCCGCGATAGTACGGCGGCCGAGGGGTGCGCCGAGAGGGAAGATCGGTAACATTCTCCTCTCCTACGTCCGATACTCTCTCGTCGCCTACACGGGACTATCGATGCAGACCTTACGGAAGAAAAACAGTCCGTGCAAGTGTGAGTAAGAACAGTAAGAAATAAAGATTGGAAAGAAACCACCCCCGTAACCGAAACGATCTCGACCGACAGACCGACAGACCGACAGACCGACCGACCGTCCATCCGTCGTTCTCGTATCGTGATTGGAGGCGAACGCCTAACCGTGAATTCGTCAAACCATGCGTATCGACGTGTACCTCATTGTGATACGAGCAAACCGTTACGGATCGTGAAGTTTTCCACGTTTTTATACGAAATCCCGTTGTGACATCGGCTCGTCGATTGGCCGACGGCCGCCTGCGGAATATGGCTTCCGTTCTTTAAAGAACCAGAGATTCGTGGCACGTTGATCGATTCTACCCACGGTGAATCGCGTGCGAAGCATCACGTCTCCGGGAAAGTGGATGTCTATCCGTGAAACGTGACACCGTCATTTTTGTGGTTCACGCGCGAGACCCTCATTATTCATTTTCTGTCTACCGACTGCGATGTGCAGTTTGGCAACGCGCTCGTTCGTACAAAGTACCGCCGTTCGAGGGCTGCACTGTGACGTCCGCTTCGGCTGACTCATATTAATTATTCTACTGAACGATTCTGCTAACACAGTTCCATCGAACGTGTCGTGCAATCAGTTTGCCTCACAATTTCTACCCACTGAATTTTGTTATAATTTTATGCCAGTGAGTAGAAGTTGCGACGTTTACTGTATCAAAGAAACCATGTATGGAAACGTATGAGAATTCATTTCTCCTGAAAATCATGCATTTCTACGAAAACAGTTAAGTCTCTATGGCCGCTATTCAAAGTCGTTGCTTATTCTTAAGATCGTCTTAAGCATTTGCTTAAGACCATGTTCCCTGTACGAGACAAGGACTGGAAATATGGGATACACAGGGATAGCAAATTCTGAAGACGATCTTAACACTAGAAAGATTGAAACTTAGTATATACCTATATTGCCCAAAGCAGTCAAAATGACTGCATTGTGAAAGAATAATGTGTAAAGAAATTTGTCTAAAATTAATTTTTAATATTTTTTATATTATTTACAGTCATATAACAAGTTATTAGTAAATGTTAACAATAAAAAAAATTTACTTCACTTGGGAAAAAAAATAATTTATGCATTATTATTTGTACATTTGCTCAAAAGCAGTCAAAATTACTTCCTTGGGCAATCTAGTGTTAAGATCGTCTTAAGCATTTGCTTAAGACCATGTTCCCTGTACAAAATAAGGACTGGAAATATGGGATAGACAGGGATAGGAAATTCTTAAGACGATCTTAAGAATAATCAACGACTCTGAATACCAGCCTATTTATTCCAATATTTGTTGATAATGTAAAAATCACAGAAAACGATACTTGCGACACAAAAGTCCATCTGGTACCTTCAGGATTTATTCGAGCTGCAGAACAAACAAGATTTCCAGCATGCTCGACTATCCACCCCTTTCCGAAAAAAACATCCCGACAACATTTGAACTTGCACCATAACTTTTGCATCGTCTTATCCATTGTTCCCCGGATGCTGGTGGCGCGCATCGAGCATAGTTGTGATAGCATAAGAGTAACGCGTGCACCGGCTGGCGAAAGAGGAGAACGCGGTCAGAAGGGAAGTGAGGGCATGAATTGGTTATCCGGATGGAGCCTCGAGTATCGACAGTTGGCGTTCTCCACTCGAGCCGCACGAGTACGTTCAAACAAATGCGCGGACCATTAAAGTTGCCGAGGGGTCGAGCTCCAAGTGTGCGCTAAAGAAGCTCCGTTCGCGTTAACAGTGGTACAACCGAGGGGGTGGGGGGGTAAGGGACGGGTGGCCGATTTCGACAAATTGTCTGTAGAAAGGCAAATCGACGAGCTTAGAGTGGCAGAGATTAAGACCCGCGAGGGGTCTATGTACAAAGCTCTACTCGATGATTTGGAAACAGAATTTCATGCATAAGAATCACAATCGAACAATCAGAACTGTTCAATAGATTTGGTAAAATGACGATACGAAAGATCGTGTAAAGTATTGGGTTGTCCAGAAAGTTGGTGGCGATTTTTAATGGATGAATTAGGGCAGGACTGAGTATATAAAAATGATTGAAAGCAAATTACATGTTTTTGGGTTTTAAAACATGGTTTTTCAGGCTTCCTTAGAAAACGTCATTATTTATTAAGATCATGTCAATATTTAATAAAATAGGTGGTACAAAATGGAGTAAAGATCGTAGTTGGTAACTACTTTTGGATTTTAAGTAATTTTATTCCAAAGGGTGATCGTTCTGAATAAACTGAGGACCAGGGCGCCATGGAATTAATTCTTAATCCGATTTTTAATTATAAATATCGATTGGCACCTCCAACTTATTCTCATCATACTTCGACTTNACCCAATAGAATAAAAATTGTTTAATAATTGTGATAAGTACAGATAGAAGGAATCTGTTCTTTAAATTCCAATCAGCGATCAATTGGTTTCTCAGCTATCAAGTAATTGCATTATTCGTTTGAAGAGATCAATTTTCCACGAGACAGACAGCGATCGTGCGATGACTAATAAAGTAACGCGAAATCTGTCGCTGTGGGTGCTCGTCTTAATATCACCGTATGGGGTCCGGCTCAAGCTGGGACCAAACCGAGTCCCGATTCTATCGAATTATTGAATCTAAGCAACGCGGGGGTTCGAACCAAACCCGGTTCGCACTCGAGCGATGGTGGTTTCAAATCTCTTCAGCTTAATATCGATCCGGCCACGCGATCCGTTCGTCCTGCTCGAGTGTCCTCAGGATAAGCAATTTATTCCTGTCCTTGCGTCAGGCTTCCATCGAGTTAGATTCCATGGGCAACAATCCAATATCCTTTACTTAAGAGCAAAATGGATCTCTGCTTACCATAAAAGGAAAATGTTTCAATGAATTTCAATACTCAAAGAAAATGCGATATTCACACGTTCTGAAGTTCTCTTCACTTGGACAGCCTCGTATAGATCATTATTAATTTCTCGTAAAATGATTCATAAACCATAATAATAAAATTACATTTTTTATCTCCCAAACATAATCAGAATTTCAGAAACACATAAAAATTCTTTGACACGAATTTGTATGCATATATGAAATTTTATTCAAGGCTACTCAAGTGAATTACACTGACTTACAATTTTAATAAAATGATTAAATGCCAATGATTTTTGGATTATTTTTATTTGTTCGAATTCGTAGTTAAGAACGCACCAACCCGGTTCCTTGGGGAGGGTGTATCGTTCAAGGCGAAGCTGATCGGTATATTGGAAGTGGCGGAAGCTCGCGGGGACCGGATGTGTCAACTAGCGTTAGCGGATCTGAAGATGGCGATTCGCGCTGCCGGAGAACATAAACAACGAATCGCCGTCCAGGTCAGCATCGATGGATTACGCTTGCGGGACGAGAAGTCTGGGGTAACGATCCTCTTTTTTTCTTTTTTAACTAAATTCTTATAAAACACTTTTAAATTTCCAATTTCCTTTTATTATTTCAGGATTGTTTGTATCACCACCCTGTACATAAGATATCGTTCATCGCGCAGGACATGAGCGATACGAGAGCGTTTGGATATATTTTTGGATCACCGAACACTGGTCATCGGTTCTTTGGTATCAAGACGGACAAAGCGGCGAGCCAAGTAAGATGGAAGAATTTGCGCAGTTAAAATTTCTCTAGAAACGACAAACAGTATTCAAGAATCTAAAGTATATGAAAACATGGTGTAAAACCATAAGGTGTGTTCTTGCGCATCCATTTGAACATCCATCTGTACACGGACACTTCCACTCGTTGGCCATTTTGGACTTCTAACCAATCAGGCTTCATATTAAAACAGAGCGAATTTTAAAATCGTAAACATATCAAAAATTTTATAGGTTCTCGGAGTGTAATATATATGCGTGTTTGAACTAAACAATAGGTCATCGTACTTCCAATATAGACCGGGCGCTCGTAACACAAAAAATGGAACAATTTTTTACAGTCTGCCATTGATAGGGGAAATATTTACAGCCACAAGCTGTAGATAGATGTACTTAAAAATCTTCGTTACGTGTTAATGCATACTTAAACATTAACTTTAGTTAGCAAAAAGAACGTAGTTTCTTGAAACAACTTTCAAACAGTCTGCCATTTATTTGAGCACAAGGCAAGATTGCGCGATCCATGAAAAGCTTATTGGCAGATGGTTTTCTCCAGTACAAGAATAAAGCGTACTTATGTTAGTTAGCAATTAAATCGTATAAGAACAATCGTCTAAGAACAATTTTTTACAATCTGCCAAGCTCAATTTAGGCTAATGTTAGCGTAAAGTTGACGAAATTTCACAAGGTAGACTGTTTGAAAGTTGTTTCAAGAAACTACGTTCTTTTTGTTAACTAAAGTTAATGTTTAAGTATGCATTAACACGTAACGAAGATTTTTAAGTACATCTGTCTATAGCTTGTGGCTGTAAATATTTCTCCTATCAATGGCAGACTGTAAAAAATTGTTCCATTTTATGTGTTACGAGCGCCCGGACTAATATGGCCGATGAGTGGAAGGCGCAAACAGCGACACATTTGAACACGCCTTATGTTTTTACATCATGTATGAAAATCCTCGTTTCGGTGAAACTGCGACGACGTCCACGCTGAGTCGAGATATTGGTTAAGCCTAAGAACAAAAGAACGACCCCGTGCGTTGATTCGATATCCGAACCGTTCATGGCACCCTTGAACGCGGCCGAACCGTGTCATTTATAGTGAACGATTCGCTTTACCGAGGTAAGGGAGTTTAAAATGATATTTGTCCAATCTGGGGAAGCAATATCGATCTTGGTAGTTCCGGTAATTCCGGAGGGGTATGTAAATAATTGCATTACACGGTTCGGCCTGCCGCCCCAGCGATACGCCACGGGAGATTGTTGATCGATTATACGAAGTTCCCTCCGTGTTCGTGCAAGGAGATTACGATTTCCTTTTGAATCGAATCCCCCCTTTCGACTTCTATTCACCGCTGAAATATGATAACTTCGGGAACGTTTTAAAATATCCTCGTTGATTATATACTAAAATCGTTGCAGGTCGTCATTGCGATGCGAGATTTGTTTCAAGTGGTGTTCGAATTGAAGAAAAAGGAGATCGAGCTGACGAAACAACAATTGGAACAGAACGCCTTAAACGCTATTAAGTTTCATAGTAACTTCATACCGACTCGTATCTTCGTCGAACCAACCCCCGATACTAAAGTAAATAAAAAATAATTTCAACCCTTATTTATTTATTTAGATTTATATAGAATAAATTCGATGATCGTTGGTGAATTTGTTGACGACAGGGCGCGGCCGGATCGGAGATTCTCGACGGTAGAGGAAATACCAACGCGGAATTAATGAAAGCGTTGAAGGCGACTGATAAACGGAACGACTCTCAAAGCGGCGTTATTGCAGATTTATTAGATTTGCAATTCGAATTGAATTCGCTACAGCAAGGAATTCATCACATGGACAAGATCAACCCTGAGAACGCACCCCCTTCTGCCGACGGCCTCTTCGAAACCGATCCGTTCGGCGATTCCTTTGCAAACATGAAGGTACGAATTTTCAAATTCTTTTAGAAATGCCAAACGAAAATTAGCAAATTTTTATGCGAAATAATGAATTTAAGGCAGATTGGGAATTTTATTAAATCGTATCGTAAAAAGTACAGAAGATGCAATCAATCTCAG